GCGCAAACCATACCACTTGTACCAACGCTCCTCAAGGAACCCCACCGGATAGAACTGCTACCTAAGTAGCTCCTTGAATTTGTTCCACGACGTTGCCTTATTCTCCTATTTGCAATAGGATTTCCACCACGTCAACGCGTGCCCTGAAAGCTTCAATGTCGCGAACACGATCTTCTCCTTGGATGAATATCCGTAGAGGGTGAAGTACATCTCCATACACTCAATCCAATCATCGAGCTTCTCCACATTGACACTCCCATCATAAACAGGAATCTCCACTTTGAAATCTATCTTTAAATTTTGGTAATTATTTTTACCCCCTTGATGTCCAGCAGTCCTAACAGTCTCAGTTCCTCCATCTGAATCAGACTTCTCGCTCTCTTCATCAGACTCGACGAGTTTCTTCTTACCTTTCGAAGAAGATTCCTCCCTTTTGTCCCCTTTGTTAATGAGACCCACGAGCTGACTAAGCGTCGAACCAATCGTCTCGATCTGATTCTCCATGGCATCAAGTCTTGTTGAGTTATCTGCTTCAGATATATTCTCCTTCCTTAAATCTTGGGCTCCTTCCAAGGAAGTAAGGATCTCGCCAAACTTCTTGTACTGTGATCGAGTAAAGACCATAGACAGGATGCCCCTTCACCGGATCTGATGCTCTGATACCAACTTGATATGAGTTGCCGTGCGAGCACCTTTGATCGCGAAATTATCAAAGGTGGGTAGAGGAGAAAACAATAAGAACACAAGAATAACTCAGGTTTTGGGCGAAGGAAAATACCTTCTCTAGATTATGAGTATGCAATTTACAATCTCTCACAATCTCACTCTAGAATTGAAGAACAGGCTCTCCAAATCTCAATTATAATTTTAATCTCTCTTGATTAAACTCTCTGATTGTTTTAAACCCTAAAACAATCCCTTATATAGATGTACAAATGTGGATGGCAATTTGGTAAATAACTAGACCCAAATCCAACAGGAATTCGTATGAACATAAACCCAAACGAACCAAGAAACCATCGATGAGTCGACTCATGACTGAGATGAGTCGACTCGTCAGAAACTAAACAAAACTCAAAAACCAGCAATGAGTCGACTCATGACAGTCATGAGTCGACTCAACCTGATGAGTCGACTCATGACTGTTATGAGTCGACTCACAGGCTGAAAACTAGATACTTCGATTCTTTTGCTCGTCGTCTCGTTTCACGCTTCCTCCTGCGTTCCCTTGTATGGTTTGACACCTCTATTCTCATGCTATCATGAGAATCATCTATCCTCAAGCTCCCATGAGGATCGCTAAGTTCCGAAGAGAAGATACACATGTATCAGTTAAATACTTCAAGCTCAATCATATACACACATACACATTTTGTTATATATATATAAGTTTATATACGCAAGTTTTGGTTTTATGGTTTTCAAGTTTAAATATGAAACAAATACTTATTTATATACATACATACATGTTTCATAGTTATCATGTTTGGTTTTGATAAACAATGTGTTTTGCCACATATACATGAAAATGAACAACACATATACATATATATATATATATTTCATGATTATATGTGAAAATAGTGTATTCTAGTTTATAGACTTAACAATCATAATATACATCTTCTATTAAGTCTATATTTTTGAAAACCAGTTTTTGTAGTATGTGTATTATCATGTCTACAATCATTTTCCAAAGTTTTATATTTTTCTGAATTTGTTTGCTATTTTTAAAAGAAGTTAAAAAATCAGATTTCCTGTTTCAGTCAGGCTGAAAACCTGTTATCAGTCGACTGGTCAATCGACTGATGAAATCAGTCGACCGATCAGTCGACTAAAAAAAGTACCTGCAATTCAAAAAAAATCTGTTTTGTTTTGGTCGACTGACCAGTCGACTGATGAGATCATCAGTCGACTGATAAGGTCTGTCAGTCAACTGATGAGCTGAAAAACGCCTCCAACGGTCAGCTCATCAGTCGACTGATGATCCCGTCAGTCGACTGACCAGCTTCAATGGCTATATTTCTAACATTTGTTATTTTATCATTTTTGCTGGTTTTGCTTGGGTTTTGTGCCTTGGTTTTTCTTCCTATATAAACCCCTATTGTTCTCATCAGAATTAAGTTTTTTAAGAGAGTTTTTAACAAGAGTTTTAAGTGTTTAAAAGTTTGTTTCTCAAGTTTAAGTTTGGTGTTTGAGTTTACAAAGAGGAGGCTTACATTTTTAATTGAGGAATTCATCATCAATCTTCTTCAACCTCTTTGTGTTTATAGAGAAGTTTTTCTAACTCTTTTCTCTAGCAATTTTATTATTGATTTTCATATTCTTATTATTGCTAGTTTGCTAATTGAGTTAGATTTTATTTATACTCATTTTATCACACACACCCTATTAGAGCTTGTAGCATTTCATACATCATATATTGTGTTATGGGTTTGTGATTTGTAAGATTAAGCTTGCATTGAGTTCTCATCCAATTAGAGAACATTTTATTATAATTGAGCTTTATTATGAGTTACATGTTGTATCACACTTGTACACCGAGAGGAGTGTGTGGTGAAAGACGGGGTTGTCCCAAGAGGAGTGGCGTCGGTAGTAATGCCTAGAGGTAGGTCGTAATTTCGAGCACTTGAGGGAAACACGGGCTAGAGACCAACACTTAGAAGGTGTAGAGTGTGATTGCAATTGAGTGTGTTGTAAAGTTTTCGGTGAACTAGAAAACCGAATTATGAGGTGTAAACGTTGTTCGGATGAGCGTAGAAAACCCGGTTATGATAGTAAATTTCTCCCTGGGAGTAGGGAGCGGAGACGTATGACGGAAGGTCCGAACTCCGTGATCATCCTTGTGTGTTAGAGTTTGCATTGGCGTATCATTTGTGTCTAGTGCTTAGTCTATCTTATTCGTCATTGCCCATTGTTTATATTGCTCATTCTTGCTTATATCACATTGTATATCTATCTTACAAGAATAATTTGTTAATAAGTTTCAATTGGCATTAATATCTAATAAGATTAGCAATAACTCTATCCCCCCCCCCTAGGGTACTTTCAATTGATATCAGAGCACTTTCAATATCAGTGAATGATTAACTACAACTAATGATATATTTGAGAATTATCAAACTTAAAAGGGTAAAAATATAAATTAAAACTTTTGACAAGGCAATCCTCTTTTATATGTAGTATAGATATAGATGTTGAATGTTTGCTTGAGGTCATGTTGAATAAATGGAGGACAATGTAAATTAGTGAGTCATAATACTGATCATTTAGAAATGTTAGGTAGGTAAGTAACTATTGAACAGTGTACTCTGGTTGATCTGGGTTAGAGAAAGGGCTTTTGCCCAACCCACACCCGAAGTTACGAGTCGAGGAAAGTTAGCCCAACCCATTTGGACACCCCTATGTTTGACAAATGGTCAAAGTGGTATATCATGTATACTTATAGCTTATAAGCAACTTTGAAATATTTGACAAGTGACTTAGAGGGTGTTTGGGAAAGCTTATTTTTTGCAGCTTATAAGTTACGCTAGTTTTTATTGGCTTTAGACTTTTATGATAAAAATATTATAGAAATTGTTTGGGTAGTATAGTAATTTGTTTGGTCAAATCTACATTATTTAGGTGAGTTTATAAGTTAGTTTTTCAAAAATTAAGGTATACCAGCTTTTTAAAACGTGACTTATAAGCTAAATTATGTTGTATTTTACGAAACAGGTAAAAATAAGAAGGCAAGCTGACAAAAAAATAAGTCTCCCTCAAAACCCTCTTAATTTGACTTATAATGACTTATGCTTTGAGATATCATAAGCAATGAGGTTTGACCAAACAAAAGACAATTATAACCTTCATGATTTAAAAAAAAAATCCAATGCCTCATTTATTAATTACTCGCCACTAGCCACATGTTCTTTTTTGTCATTATGAATTCTAATCTACTCATTTACCGAGCCCTCTACTCTTGAAAACAGATTATAATTCACAAAACTTACCAAGCACTCTAGATTATAATCTACCTGGATTATAAAAAATTTATTTATAAATTGTAAATCAAGTGAATTATAATCCAGAGCTCCTAAACATAATCTGAGTAGGCATTAGGGCAAGGTTTGAGTTTAGAAGGTAAAAAAAACAATCTAGTGTTACTTTACAATGATTGGGGATCAAAAAAAAAGTTAAAGTCTACTATAGAAAGCCTCAAAAGCATATTACTTCACCAAATTAATGTAATCAAAAGCAGGAGTGAAGTCATATCCACAAAACAAAAACAAAAACAAAGTACAGTGGAAAATTATTTGATACTTTATCTTTTTTAATTTAGTAGTACAAAAAATCGATACATATGAGACGTACTTTTAATTTTTTGCTTTTCTTATCCTTGACCATTAGACATATTTAACAACACTATTAACATTAACATCGTTACAATATATACTTTCATGGCACCATACATTATTCTCTATAAATTGGAAATTTCTAATTTTTTTTGTTATTTAACAAAAAAGATTAAGACGGTTTATACGATGACAGCTCTGTGGAATTCGAATCAATTCGTCTAATTCTAAAAATTATACCCCACATACCAACGCCAAAACTATAACATATAAATCTAGCATTTTTATATATAAACATATAAGCTCTTCATATAAAGAAATCTAACGACCCAAAAGAAAAGAAAGGGGGCATAAAAAAAAAAAAACAAAACAAAACCCCGCAAAATTAATCGAGCGCGTTAGGGCCCCTACAAGCCTTGAGCACAGGATTCCAAACCCACTGGACCAAGAACCTCCTCCCGTTCCTCCCATTAACATTCCACCTCCTCCCCTCCCCGTCCCTCGCCCTCGCCGGTGTACACCCGCCTCCCCTGCCGTCCCAGTAGACCCCCTGCCGCACAGCGTCCCCGCATTCTCGTCGGGCGGCCGTCGGTTCCTCCCCCGCGCCTACCGCGCTGATCAGCGGTTCGTTCGCGACAGTCCGCGAGCTCGTTGCCGCATCTACGCTCAGCCAGTCCCGTCTACGCCGACGTCGCCGTTGGGCAGCCTCATCGTCCTATCCCCGACCCGGCATGTAGCCCGGGCCAGGGCGAAGGGGTACGCGCAGACGTCGGGGCACTGCGGCCCCGCTGTTGCCCACCGCGCGTAGGGGAGGGTGTGGCGACGATGGAGGGAAGGTGAAGTAGTGGAAGCCGCGACGGCGCGGCAGAACTCCTGGACCCTGATCTCGGGGCGGTGAGGACGAGGTAGACGCCGTGGCGGTGGTCGACGGGAGGCGGCCGGAGGCGACGGAGTCGGCGATGACCTGCTGATGGAGAGGCGCGGTGAGGTCCCGGCCGCGGGTGAGGTTGGCGTTGCGAGTCGCTCGGAGCGGATGTGAAGGAGCGCGGTGACGTTGGATGAGGGTTGGTCGGAGTACGAGCGGCGCAGTGGAGGACCACTGGGAGGGGAGGGGGAGGCGGGGAGGGGAGGAGATGGAGAGGAGGAAGTCGCGGATGAGGGAGCGGGAGGCGGCGGCCAGCGGCTCGTACCAGATAGGTAGAGGTGACCGGGAGGAGACGGACTGGGCCCATGTGGTAGCGGAGGTGGATTAGGTCGGAGGAGCCCTCGTAGCGCTTCGAAGGGGAGAACGAGGAGGGGAGGCCGCTTCGGTTGGCGGCGGCGGGCGGGCGGCGGGGCGGAGATTGTTCAGGGAGTTTTTGTACGGGAAGGGGCTCGCTGCTCGGAGGCGGAGCTTGGAACCGATGACGAGGCGAGATCAGGAAGAAGACGAGAGCAGCGGCGATACGCATTTTCCTTTTTCTTTTATTATTATAATAATAATAATTATTATTATTATTTTGAATTGGGATTTTGCTTTGAGTTGGAGTGGCGGAGTGAGGAAGGAGGAGGAGGAAAATAAATAGGGGGCGAGCAAGGATGAGAGTGAATAGGGGGAGGCATGGGGCTGGGGAGGGCAGGGGAAGCTGGTGACAGCTTGTATTCGGGCCCACGTGGCCTTTTTTCAAAAAATTTGATGATTAACAAAAGAGGTTTTTCGAATTAGTCCCAAGAACCTTTCGTATTTCGAATGGGTCCTCTAAATACTTTCAATTGTTTCGACGTTGGTCCGTCACCTAGACCTTCCGTCTGAATTGTTAATCATGGTTCGATTAGTGTTAGCTTGATAAATTTGGAACGATCAGGTACTGCAAAATCGTTATATATTCGGTTTGTGATCTAGTGAAGTTTGCTGGGGTTTTGCTTTTGAACGCAGAGAGATGCATCCGGAGATGAACAGGAAAATGCTGAGGATGGTGGAACATTCTCTCACTTTCAATTACCATGTAACTTAAGGGACTGACTTCGTAGCACTTAAAATATTAGGGGACTAATTGATAACATGAATATCTGCGATACTAATTTCAAAATATGGAAGATGCGGGGACTACGTATCGAAAACACCGTAAAAAAGAGGGAGGAGGTGTGGGTGTCAAAATTCGCGCCCAGGTCATGTTATGTTGATGGTTGAGATGGGTATTTTTCAGCTAGGTGTGTTGGCAAAAAAATTCAAAAGATGATGAAATTTTGAATGCTAGGGATGAGTAGGCTTGCGGTAAGCTTACCAGAAGGGAAGCGAGTGGGCTCCAGCGATCGAGGAAACGGGTTGTGTTTACCGAATTATTGGGTACAACGCGTCGAATAGTGCGAAAGATCTGATATAGGTTCGGTCAGGTCGGTTAAATTAAAAAATAAGTTTGTGCGCTTTGGATAATAACAGTATAATTTCATAAGATTAAAAATAGGGGAAAATATGTTAAGGCTCCAAAAAATAAAATTGATGTGGCTCAAACCCACAATCTTTTTTCCTTACTCTTTAGCCTCAAAAGAGGCTACAAAATGTGCCACAGTCCCAAAAGCCCACCTTTATACATGTACTCCATGTATTTTTCATAACCTACCAAAAATACCCTCATCTCTCATCTAGGAAATCTTCCTCTTAACTCATGGAGCTGGTGATCGCTGTCATCACAATTAAAGCGATTCGACGACGAAAATTGAGGGAAAAAAGCGCGGGTTCCCTCCATTACTAGGCTACCTCCTCCTCCTCTCCATCATCACCTATGCCCCTTCCGTCAACCTCTTTTTTACTGGCGGTGTCGCATTCTCCCTCCCCCTCCTCATCTTTATCCTCTTCCACTTTAAGAAGAACTCTAGGGCCCTCAACCTCAACCTCCCTCCCTGCCCAAAAGGCTGGCCTATTGTAGGCAACCTTTTCCAAGTTACGTCATCCGGCAAACCCTTCACCCCCCTACATCCGTGACCTCCTCGCCCTCTACGGCCCAATATTCACCCTCCGCATGGGCTCCCGCGCTCTCATTGTCATCACCAGCGCCGAGCTAGCCTACGAGGCCCTCATCACCAAGGGGCAAGTGGTGCGGTTTGGGTGCCCAAGAATGCTCGGTTTCACGTCTTCTGTATACTTATTACCATGTGCTTTGGTGTTCATCTAGATGAGGACGGTATAGACAAGATTGATCAAGTTAATTACCATGCACTTATCCCACTAACATGCATACGTGTACACACTCACCTTATAATGTCTAAATCAGTGATCATAATCAACTTAATCAACTCTGAAGCAATTGCCATCAAAAATTACTTCTGAAAAAATCTGAGAGGCATCCGACCTGAGTTTTTTTAGTTGATAATAAAGATGATTTGAAGTGCATGTTGGAGCATAATCGAAATACTGGTTGTATGAAGATTCACATGTAAGTTGTTGCTAATATAGAGGGTTCTATTTCTGAAAAATTAGAAAGTTCTTACTGAAATGTATCTAATCAATAAACTATTTTTAAAATTGTGCATTATGTGATGTAAGCTTTGTTATTTCAGTTTTCAACTGTACACATTAACGTTCAGATTTTTTAGTTAACTTTTAAGTGAAGATGTTAACTTTTAGTTGAACATATTAATTTTTGAATAAAAAAGTTAACTACAAGTTGTACATGTTAACTTTTAGATGTATATGTTAACTTTCAGACAAACATGTTGATTTTAATATGAATATGCTAACTTTCACTTGAAAACGTTAACTCTCAACTAAACATGTTAACCTTTCTGCTTTATATGTTAATTTTCAGCCGAACATGATAACGTCAACGTGAACATGTTAACTTTCTACTATATATGTTAACTTTTATTCTAACATGTTGACTTTAACATGAACATGTTAACTTTCATTTGAAGGCGATAACTCTCAGCTGAACATGTTAACTTTCAAATGTAAGAAAATGATAATATGCTGCTAGGAAATTGCTATTGTGTACTCAAGTAATATTAGCTGTAAGAATGTACGAAGTTTTGTGTAATGTACTTGTTTAGCTAGGGTATATTGTTTGTATTTCCTATAAAATGTATTGGTGTTATAACTACTTTTAGCTGGATAACTTTCAGCTAAACATGTTAACTTTCATTTGACTATGTTAACTTTGAGGTGAACATGTTGGCTTTCAACTGTACACGTTGACTTTTAAATTCTATAGACTTTAAAGTGAAGATGTTAACTTTCAGCTGAATATATTAAATCTAAACTAAAAATGTTAACTTTAACCTGAACATGTTAACTTTTACGTGAGCATGTTAACTCTCATCGATATATGTTAACTTTCAAGTGTATATGTTAACATTTAAGTTTATATGCTAACATTCACGTGAATATGTTAACTATCAGCTATATATGTTAACTTTTATCTGCATATGTTAACTTTCTTACGAACATATTATATTTCGTCTCTACACGCTAACTATCAGCTGAATATGTTAACTTTCAGCATAATATGTTAATTTTTACTGTTACATGTCAGCTTCTTAATAACATAATAACATGCAACTGAATATGTTAACTTATCAAATGTACATGTTAAGTATTAGCTTTTTCTATTGACATTCAAGTAAACATGTAGCTTTTCATTTGAACCTGTTAAATATATGCTGTATCAAAACAAAACGTAAATATATTGTGACAAAAATACCAAAAATACAATAAGAACAATAAAGGCCAAGCTTGTTGTAATGTTTGTCATCCACATTAATTGTTTACACAATTAAATTAATACAAAAATACAAACATGCACACAAGTTTTGATTTAATCAATCAATTTTTAGAACAACTTTTTTCGATCCTTATCTAATGTCTCTTATTGATTCTTCTGTTCTCATCATTTTACTAGAAGCTCAGTTGCAAGTCTGACACGTATGACATCAGATTCATCGTCAGGAGTAGTTACTTGAAGTGTATCAACACCATGGATTATAGCCTTCATATATAAGGGAATAAAAATTCCATAATTAAAACTGCATGATATAAAGTGGCAAGCTAGTTAGATATATGATGCCAAATAAAATGAAAAGTATTAAATATGTGAAATACTAACATTCCAAACTGTTGCTCGCAAGGGACGACTTTAACGTCCAACCAAACATTGATATACAAATTTGCTGATAGCAGATTCAACTCAGTGTACCATAATTAAGACGATATCTAGTATTGAATTGAGAGAACACTCACAAATTGCATTAATACGGTCGCTGGACCTTCAGATATTACGCGTGAAACTAGTAATATAAGCCTGCAACTAGGCTAAATGAACAACCATTGAGCATAGTTCTCTAAAGATACAATTATCCACTCTTATTAATGAAGGAAGAGCATAAGGAAGAAGTATTCACTTCCAATATTATATGTTTTCAATTTTTATTAGAAAGGTTGTGAGGGAAGTGCATAATAATAATAAAACATGAGAAGTTCAGATCATGAATTGTTTTGAGAATGATTGTAATAAATAAATGGGGCGGTATAAAATTAGGGGGGAACCGATCTGTGATACTGTAAGTTGGCCCAGACTCAATAGTAAGTCACAATGGGTTAGGCCTCTCTCCCTCCCTCTCTATCTCCCTTCAGGATTTCACAAAGGAGTTCGATCTGAGATCCAAGATTTTTTGAAAAAAAAGAAAAAGAAAGATTAAAGTAATGATGATAATAATAAAGAAAGAGACCTTGAAGAAGAGGCGATCCAAGAGGAACCTAGCGGCAGGGAAGCCAAGAGCAAAGAAGATTGCGATCAAGAAATACGATACCTCCGGCACATCTCCTTCTCCTTTCGCTTCCATTTCTTCTTCCAATCTCAAATCAACACACTCCACCACACCCTGGTGTGGTGTCTGCCATGGGACACCCACGGTGCAGGGTGTGGCAGAATCTGTCCTGCACCACACCCTCTGCCACACCCACGGTGCAGGGTGTGGCAGACTCGTTTTTAGAATCCCAATCAGTTTGGGATTATGTTTTGCTATAAATAGAGACACGTTTTTTAGGGTTTCCTAGGCTTGGTTTAGGCTTTGGTTAAGCATTGATTGGGGGCTATTTGGAGCACAAAAAGAGGTATTTTTGAGCTATTTGTTTAGGGTTTTATTTGGAGAGACTCAATTTGTACTCTCCTTCTCTATTAGTGAAAACCCACCCCCTTCTTGCCCCGTGGACGTAGGCAATTTGCCGAACCACGTAAAACCTTGGTGTTTGTGTTTTGTTTGGTCTTTCTCTCGGCGTTCGTTGGTTTGGTTTCTCAAAGCATCAGTCACAACAAGTGGTATCAGAGCACGGGCAACGCTTGGGCTATTTGGAGGAGTAGATCGCTTTGGAAGTTCATCTAGGGCTTCGTTTGGTGATAAAGGTGGGATCTTTTTTTGTAAAAATCTCGTCTTTTTCAGTTTGGATCTATTTCTCGTTTGTTTCCGCATTGGTTTGGTGGTGCCTTGAGGATTATGGCCGAGAAAGAAGGAGTTGTGGGCAGTACTTCCGGCGTGAAGACCGTCCAAAGCTTGAATATCCACTCAATGAAGATTGATGTGGAAAA